ACCGCCCCCCCCCCCCCCCCCAGTAATTTGTCCACCCGGTCCACCACATGCCGAACCCTGGCACCAGGAAGACCGTAAACCATCCGGTTTATTCTGCTTGTTAAGCAGAATAAAGATGGTATAAATCATTTTGAAATATTTAAGTGATTTTAAGCAGAGTTTCTAGTTGCCTGGTTCTGTTTTAAGTTAAATGGGTTTATGTACAGGAGTGTAACTTTGAAGTATACAGGCTAACATGGCATCATTGTTGGGTTTGTTGCCCTTGAAATAGAATCAGTGTGGCATCCAACATATTTGTCTGCAAAATTAATTAAGCAAAGGTTAAAATCATGTTAAGTGTTCAAGTTTTCCACCTTCTCAGGGTTAAGGGTAGACTTGAGTTGCTCTAAGAGGGTTTCAAAAGGCCTGTTCAAGGTCAACAAGCTTGTTCAGTCTTTGTTTTTTCCTCTTGTGAAGCTAATTGAAATCCTGTAAAGATGAAATATCTACCTTTTTAGGGTATTTTATTTCATGATTAAGATTAACTGAAACGACCATTTAAAATCAAAAAAGTTGCCACATTGGTGTTTCTTTGCATGTCTTTGCATTTGATAGAAAGCATGAAAAAATAAATGTGGGCTTTTTTTAACATTTGTTAATAGAGTGCAAAATTAATGAAAAAGGCATCATTGAAAATAGGGATGCACCAAAATTTTGGCTCCCGCACTGCACCGCTCAGCCTCCTGTAACAGATCAGGAGAGCGGTGTGTGGGTGGAGACAGCTGTCGCTGGAGACCGAGCAGGCAGTGAGGGGGAGGAGTCAGCTGTCACATGAGACCAACCTCTCCTCCCCACACTAAGCTTCCTGTAAGCCGATCCAGGATGGAGAGCGGTACAAACATTCAGTGATCGCTGAAAGTTTGTAAATAACTGGACATAGTTACTATGTACCAGTTATGAATATATGAGAAGTGGATCTGAATCACTTCCTATTCATTAATGATTGTGTACATAGTAACTCATACTGGATCCACAATTTATAAATGAACAGGAACACACAGTACAGTGTAGATTTCTGTTCATTCAGCGCTGGGGCTGCAGAAAAAGAGATTGAGGACTGTGTCCTCAATCTCTTTTTCTATTATAAAAAGGGTCTGTTCAGACCGCTGATACTTCACCTAAGCCCCCAACAGTAAGGTTAAAAAAATTAAAACAAATTATAAAAATAACTAAATTAAAATTAAACAAAAATACAATTTAGAAAAGAAATGTTATAATGTTAGAAAAAATTTTTGGGGGGGGTTTCTCCCTCACTTTTTTTTTTTTGTCTCAAAATTTCATTTCGGTGCACGGCTCAAAGAGATATACATGATGATCAGTTGTGTGGCATGGGCTATTCCGTATGTACACTACCATTGCAAGATAACAAAATGTTGAAATTTTCTTGGGGTTTACATGTTTTACAAAATGTGATAATTCATGGGAAAGGATCTTGGGTAGTTTACTGCTCTTATTTTTTGCAAGGAAAACATAGTCCTGATGCCTAGACCACATTTTTATTTAACTTCCGATTCCACCAAAGTCCACTATGGACAATAGTGTGGGTTGTCAATGTAACTTACAACCACTGCCTTTGTCTGGAAGACAGGTTCCCTGTTCATGAGTCCATATGAACAACACAATGGTTTTCCTGCTTCTAGTAAGACATCTCTCATTTAAATTAATCAGATTTATTTTTCAGGCCTATTAATTAAAACATTGATGGTCTTTTTTTTTCTTTCCTATTCCATTACATCAGTTGCCACTTCTTTTTCTTCTGTCATCAGGCCTCATGCTTTCTAGGTCTGCAAGGGTGCAACTTTGTCCTCTGTTCATACCTTTTTGAAGTCCTACAGGGTCAATGTTGCTTATATTTTATTGGGATTCAAGTGCTTGTCCCTTGTTTTCTTAAGACTCCATACCTGTTGCTCATTTAGGTCTACTTTTGGAAATTCCACAAATAGATTTATGACATTACAGCACTGTGTTATTCAATGTTGGAGTAGGATTTTTTTTCTTTCCATATAATTATTTTTCTCCTGTTCATTAGGTTCTCTATGATCAGGAGAAAAAATATATAATTTTTCCTCTGTTTGTACTTTTTTTTTCTCTTTGACCTATTGCCAAAGTTCTGATGTGGATGTTTTTTTTTTGTTTTTACCTTTTTGTTGCTTTTGTTCAGTTGAGCTCTCTAACATTCACAGGGGTATAGCGATTAGAGAACTCGCCCTACCCCCCCTTTTTTTCCCATTTTTACATAGTGTCTAAACCTCCTAAATACAGAAATATATCCACAGGTAGAAGAATATTACATAATTTCCCCAATTAACTATTGGAGAAAAGGATTTTATTAAACAAAATAGCACATCATATAGGTCACATACAAAACTGACTGATTTTGTTGTTGTTAATTTCTATGTCCAAATAAAATCAAGTTATGTGTTGTTAATTTTTACTTGATGTTTCCTTGATGCTTGTTTAAAAAGGTATATAAATTTTGGTGTTTGTGCTGGTAATTACAGGTACACTATTATAATGTAACTTATATATATATATATATATGTGTGTGTTTTTTGTTTTTAGGCTGAGGTATGGGACCTGGAGATTGTACAAGCAAACTATACCTCATGGCCGACGGATATCAGTGATATCAAGGAAGGATTTATAGTTGTGAAAGGACATTCTGGGGTAGGTTTCATTTACGGATTTTTTGTAAGGTCCTAAAATATAAATATGCAATATCTGAAGTGCTATTTTAGATTATGAAAACATCTGGAAGCTGCTGCAGTTAATAAAGTGATAATTAATCCCCTTATATAATATGCTTAATAATATAATCTATGCAGTGTTTTTATTAACCTAACTACCTATACTTATCAACAAAAACCATGCAAATGTCAATTAACAATAGCTATCACCAATTTCTTTTTATTTATTTATTTTATTTCAATCCAACTCTACCACGTGGTAATGAGATGCAGAATTAAAGACTAATAGTGTAGTTCAATTTATTTAAAATACATAAACTATAAAAACAATCGCACTCACATGGACCAAGTGCTTAACAGAACTATGAAATACCGCTCTATCAATTCCAACCAGGATTTTTTATATCTTAACTCATATGCAATGGCTCCCATTTTGTTCACTTAAATCTACTTATCTGCAGTTAAAATGTTAACCTGATATTGAATATGCACATTTCACAAAGCAACCACAATAAAACAGGCTAAGTACTTCTAAATATATTAAATATCATATAAATAAAACAGTCAGGTACTGTATAAATTAGCTTGTCATATGATCCACCGTCTTGTGACTGATATCCTAGTTTAGTGTATTATTTCCAAACTACGGTAACATCCCTTAATGGCTCTATTATTATGGGCAGCACATTGACTCATCGGCTAGTACTCCCGCTCTGCAGCACCAGGGTTCCAGGTCCCGACCAGGGCTCCATATGCATGAAATCTTATACCACTGTAAAATCCATCTGTTAAATGGGCATATACATCCTATGGAAGACATCTGCATAATAAATATAATTCTATAAAATCAAACAAATTAATAAAATTATCAGTCACTAATGAAGTAATTGAGGTCTAGTTCTGTAGTCCATCCTCTTTGGTTTTAATGTTTCTAATTCATATATCCAGTAGGTTTCTCATTTTAGATTGCTCTTTTTAAGTTACTCACCCTTCAGTGATTTTCTACCTTATCAGTATTACAAAATTTCAACCCTTACGGATCCCTCTTGTGAAATAAAAATTATGCAATGCTAATCATCAGTTCTCTAGTAGTCCTACCCATCTACTGTGGGCATGTAGGACACTGCAGCATGTAGATCACATGTGTCAAACGCAAGGTCCAGGGGCCGAATCCGGGCCACCAGGCCATTTCCTAGACTTCTACTTTCAGATCTAGGTATTAAGTTATTACTAAAAACAGTGATAATCAAATGCAGAGGCAATTATGATAAAGATTAGATACATTTATATAGTCTTAGAGATACCTTTTGAGGGCAACCATAATGTTGATGCGGCCCATGATTACATTGAGTTTGACACCCCTGATGTAGACTATCTGGGTAGAATGAAATCTTAACTTAGATATTTTGCCAGTGTTCCCTGTTACAAAATCTTTCCTTTTCACATTTTTTTTAGTTACACATGCCTGACACATGCATAAAATGTTTCTCATTTAAAAAATAGTTATTTTTTCCCTTTTAGGAGGATCAACACTTTTTTTCCCCCCTCATATTTATTGTTGCCATATCAGAAGTACATGATGACAATAGCAAAGGCAATAAGGGACACATGTCCGTAAATACAGGGTATTTGGCACAAGACTGTGTGTGTGTGTGTGTGTGTGTGTGTGTGTTAGGACACCCGTCCAAATCATTGGATTCAGTTGTTTCAATCACCTCCATGGCCACAGTTGTAAAAAAAAATATCAAGCACCTAGACATGCAGACGCTTCTACAAACATTTGTGAAAGAATGGGTCGCTCTCAGGAGCTCAGTGAATTCAAGCATATATATATACATGCACACACATGGATTTCCTCCATGGCACAAACTGCATGGAGGGAATCCAATCCCTCCATGTAGTTTGTGTCTGGTGAAACAGCACCCATTGACTTCCTGAAGTCAGTGCAAATCGATTGGAGAAAACCACAAGGGAGATGCAAAAGGTGGGGGAGGATGTTCATTTTAAGGATATAATTTCTCCCAAACCAGGAGAAAGTGTCTGTCCCACACCTCCAGATCCCTCCTAATAGAAAGTGAGGAGAGGCGGAAAATTCATGGGGGAAAACCTTTTCCAGAGACGCAACTAATTTCACCTTAATGTATTTAATATATGCTGGAACCCATTTAAAATGAAAGCTGGTCTAAAGAGCATTAAGGGGACCAGCCAAAACATTGATATTCAGAGTCTCGGACTCGTACCATAGTAATCAAGAGCCTTTAAAAGGGATGGTAGGGAGGTTACCGGCTTTGTGACAAAGAAAAACAAATTGTCGGCAAACCCAGTGACTTTATGGGAAGCCGAGCCAATAGAGATTACCCAGATGTCTGTATTGGAGCGAATATGGCACAGTAGGGGTTTGATGGTAACAATAAAAGTCAAAGAGAGGGGACGTGCCATTACTCACTAAAAACATCAGAGAGGGCTTTGTTGACATGTACAGCTGAGGTTGGACTGGAATAGATAGCGATCCACGAGAGCATGTTAGGCCCAAAAATAGCAAAAATGTCACCAGCACACCAAAAAGATTTTAGCAAAAGTCCATTTAATGACAAATTGCCATTCAATTAAAAGCGCTTTCGGGGCCTCAAGGGGTCCCCTTCATCAGGCTCCGAATGACACAGCATTGAACAACCATCACCCTTAAATAGACATACAAATTAGAGGTGCACCAAAATAGAAATTTGAAAAACGAAACTGAAATTAACAAATTGTCAGACCGAAACCGAAAATGTTTTCATTGAAAAAAAATTCACATTTTTTAAATATTTATTTTTATTCATTTTTATTAAATATTTTTATTTTTTACTTTACTTTTAGGGGCTTTGGGGAAATATTAGGGGTCTAAACAGAGCCCTGATATTTCCCTTTTAAAATAGAAAAAGAGATGGAGGACACAAAGTCCTCCATCTCTTTTTCTGCAGCCCCTGTTATCAATGAACAGGAATCCTCTGAGTGTTCCTGTTTATTCACAACATGAGAATATTGTGTGTTTACTATAACTACAACTACATGAATGAACAGGAGGTGATTTAGCTCACTTCCCATTCATTCATAATTGAGGATATAGTCAACATAGCATATCCTCTATCTACAAACACTCAGCGATCGCTGAGTGTTTGCTCTCCTCTCTGTCACACACTGTCACAGGAGGCTGAGCTAGCGGTGCGGGAAAAGAGCTCAGCCTCCTGTGACAGCGCTGTCTCTGCCCCCACACCGCTCTGCCGCACTGCGGTAGGCGGACGAGTGGTGTAGGAGAGACACCGGCCGCTCACATCGCTCTCCTCCCGCAGCGCTCGGCCGGCTTTCAATTTCTCTCCTTTCCGCTGGGACAGTAACTGGCTATCAGTAACATCAGTCCGTTGTCCAGGGAACCGAACGCCAGGTCGCAAGGAGACCACGCCCCCTCAGCCACAAAAATAGAAATTAGTCAAGCATAGGTAATACTACTGAGTGAAATAAATCAAAAACATAATTGAAAATATAAACCCATATTACACAGTTTCAATTGATATTGTTATGCAAAAAGACCATACACAGTCCAATACATATTGGGCTTACATGTCATGATTACATATAATACCAGTATCGCAGGTAGCACAGTTTAGACCCAAAACAAAAGGAAAATGATAAAATGAATACCCAGAGCTGCCAATGCGTTACACGGCCCATAGTAAAACCCATCAATGGATGGTGTAAACTCCTCCATTGGGGGCGGGTTACTGTCATCCAAAAAACACGTTAGTGAGAGACTGGAATTGAGGCCCCTGGGTTGCACACAATCCAGTGTAAAGATCCAGAAGGCTTCTCTCCGTAGGAGTTGTTTAGCCCTGTCACCACCCCTGGGATGTATAAAGCGACATCCGGGTAACTATTGATAAACAGCAAAAAGGAGAGGAATTGGATATAAACAAACCGGTGGCGATTCATTTAGCTAAGATGAAACATCAAATCCATGAACTCGGAGGCATGGTAGTTGAGCAGGTACACATGCATCCCAGGGGTGGTGACAGGGCTAAACAACTCCTTCGGAGGGAAGCCTTCTGGATTGTGTGCAACCCAGGGGCCTCAATTCAAGTCTCTCGCTAACATGTTTTTTGAATGACAGATAATTCTGTTTTATGGTAGACACTAACCCAAGAGTAACCTTCTAGTAACCTGTCCCTAATGGAGGAGTTTACACCATCCATTGATGAGTTTTACAGTGGGCCATTTAACGCATCGGCAGCTCTGGGTATTCATTTTATCATTTTCCTTTGCTTATGGGGACATGCAACATCTTCCTATTGGGTTTTCGTCAAATTCAATTTGTACTTATGGTTGTTCATAGACTCCGGTAGCAACTGATTATAGTCTTCTCACTACTACCTCCAACTATTATAGTGCTTGAACTGCATGTATATTTTGTTTTGGGTCTAAACGGTGCTACCTGCGATACTGGTATTATATGTAATCATGACATGTGAGCCCAATATGTATTGGACTGTGGTCTTTTTGCAGTAAAATGTGACATTTTACTGCCTTGAAGAAGGGACCCTGCGCGGCCCCGAAATGTCGGCTTTGTTGATTACCGTGACAGAATTGTCCATTAAAAAGGACATATCTATTTAAATTGAGTGCTGGTGACCTGTTCCTTTATTTTTATACACATTGTACACTTCATTGCAAATGACAGGCAGATGCTGTATATGTTCTGACGCTGCTTCTCCCTTTGTGACCACTCTATTCCATACTGCGCATGCGCGAATGAACACAGGACCTCGCAATGATGTCCGGCTGAGACACAAGCTGTAACCACCCTGCGTTCCACACGGCGCACGCGTGAGGACGAGCGGGCGTGATCTCCTTGCGACTTGGCGTCCGGTTCCCTGGTGTAGCGCGCCGTTCTCTCCACAGATCTGCCACATGTAAGTGTATTTTGAAACCCAGAATGGCGGGAGT